GGCTGGTGGGGAGCTGGGGGGGGCTGCGGGTTGCCGGGCTCTGAGTCCTGTCCCTGCTGTGGGCGCAGAGGGGTGTGCAGGGCCGAGCATGTCTCCCCTTTCCTGCCCTGGGGTGTGGGGGTCCTTTCACCCTGGCAGGCTCTGCCCTGTGTTTGTGCCACTCTCGTGGCCTGATACGGGTGGACGAGCCAGGGCACCCATATCAGCAGGGGAAATGTGGGTCTGAATGTCCGCTGGGGCTGGGGCTCCTTGCAGGCCTGAGCACCCATTACAGCTGGTGAGGGTGTTTCCGCAGGGTCTCCCGAGGCTGTTTACCTGCTGGCAGTGAGCGCAGATGGGCACTGGCTGGCCGCAGTCAGCGGGGACTGGGCAATCCACATCTACAACCTGAAATGCTTCAAGGTAGGGGCAGGTGCTGGAGAGTGCTGCGGGAATGATCCCTGCTGCCCTACTGCCTCGGGGGGGCTGAGTGAGGGTGGAGTCAGTGTGTAGGACCCCTCCCTGGAAGCGATTGCTGTGTCCCTGGAGCAGGGGGTGTGGGAAGGGGAAGGAGTGGGGTGTCAGACATGGCCCCGGTTGCTCCTGTCAGCGTGCTGTCCTCTCCTGCCCTGCAGCATCACTGCATGGTGCCCACCTACAACTGCGCAGTGACAGCACTCGCCATCCACCCAGTCACCAACAACCTCGTTATCGCCTACTCAGACCAGCAGGTATGAGCTCTCCAGGTCACAGCCCTCTTGGCCCTGGTTTCTTCCCCGTGACTTTTGCCCTGGCCTTGAGGCTTTCTGGCTGCACCGCTCGGCAGGAGAGCCGTGGCTCCGGGCAGGCACAGGGACCTGGCTGGCCTTTGCTGCCCGCTGTCCCTGGCAGGACCCTGTCCTCATGCAGCACACGTGGCCTGGCTTCAGCGGGGGCTGCCCATGCGCCGGCATGGGGTTGGTGGCGCGGAGGAGCGGACCTCACGCGCCGCACAATGTGCCTCTCCTGCCTCTCCAGCTGTTCGAGTTCAGCATCCCCGAGAAGCAGTACACGGCCTGGAGCCGCATGGTGCAGAACTGTGGGCTGCACAGGGTCTGGCTGGAGAGGGACACGCCCATCACCCACATCACCTTCAACCCCAAGAACCCCTCACACATCCTGCTCCACGACGTCTACATGTTCTGCATCCTCGACAAGTCCCTGGTGAGCCCACGTGCCTGGGCGGGAGGGCTGGGTTTGTGCCCAGGGCATCTCCCCTGCCTGGCCCGGCTGTCCCCGTCCCTGCTGGGAGCGGAGGGAGGGGTGTGCAGCGCCGAGGTGGTGGTGGTCCGGGCAGCTCTGAGGTGTACCGTGCACTCTCTTCGCAGCCCTTGCCGGACAACAGTGCCCTCCTGATGAACCAGAGCACCCTGAAGCAGCTGCCAGAGAATGCCAGGCAGCGGCAGCTCCACGCCTTCAAGATCTGCAAGAAGTTCCAGGTGGGTGACGGTGTCGCTGTGCCTGTGCCGTGTCAAGGAGGGGTGGCTGGGGGGTGCTCTGTGCCCGCGGTCCCTGTGGCCGCACCTGCTCCTGTGCCCCGTCGCTCCTGGTTCCGTACCAGCGCTGGGCACCCACATGGCAGAGCAGAGCTCGGTCTCGGTCCCCATCATGGCACAGCTGCGATCTCGTGGGCTCCGATGGCCCAGCAGCTCCTGCAGCGCAGCCCCCAGGCAATGCCCCTGGTTACGGCAAAGCCGGAGCCGGCTGCAGGGCAGCTCTGTGCAGCCAAGCCCGGAAAGCCAAGGCGGAGGGGTCCTCTCACCTCCTGCCCCCTCCCTGCCCTGCAGCCCCTGCTCTTCGCGGATCTCCTGGACGAGAACTGCCTCGTGACGGTGGAGCGGCCCATCATGGACATCAAGACCCAGCTGCCGCTGCCCGTCCAAAAGAAGAAATTTGGCACCTGAGAGCAGAACAAGCCACTCCAGCCACAGAAACTGTGTGTGTTGCTTTCCTAGGGTGCTGTAGGAATAAACCCCACTGTTCTGTACGGCTGCAGGCTCAGGGCTCGTCCTTGCCTGACAGGGCTCCCTGGTGTCAGAGCAGCAGGTCAGGATGACACCAGCCTGAGCCTGAGGACACTGCCGCCTCGTCCGTGCCAGTCCTCCCGGTGCTGCGGGGACGAGGTGGCACCCTGGAACTGCTGCCTTCTCACTGGCTGCTCTGCTGGGCAGCCTCAAGTCATGGCATTGGCTTCTCTCTCACCGTGCTGGCCATCAGCCGGGTGGGTCGGTGAGTGCTGGGGTGCTGCCTGGCGCAGGGGACTCCCATCCCCTAGTGAGCTGGGCTCCGGACAGACAGCGATTGCTGGTGCTTAGCACCCATGTGCAGCGCCCCCAGCTGGGTGAGCAGCCTGTGCCCCTGCTCCATGCCTTGGGAAAGGTACCGGCTCACCCAGCTGGAGCTTGCAGCTGCATGCTGGTGGGACTGGGGTGTAGTGGGGTCCCTCTGCCAAACAACTGCTCTTGGCACGCACGGCTGTTAGCTGGAAAGCCGGACACCTTCTCCTCCAGCCCTTCCAGTAACACCAGTACCCCATTTCCAGTTTATGCTTGTACCCTCCCTGGCAGGACCGAGCAGGAT